TAATGCATTGGAAGAAGAAAATATTGCGCTCAAAATGGTGAAAATTTCGAACCAAAATCATCGTCAGGAATTTCTAGGAAGTGTTTTTAAACTTTTCGCGCGCTGCTTCCGAAGACAATTATTTTCTTCGCAATGAAGATCGACGCAAACTTGCGCATTTTTGCAATAGAAGCAGAACGTTTGCTGTCTAACTGTGAACGTTTCGAAATAAGGCCGTCATCAGAAAATTTGCAATTTTGTGATTTCTTCAAGATAGCGCTTCTACTTAAACTGCCGCTGAACGCACGTGATTTTTCAAAGCGCCTGTGGACGCAGTGAAAGTTTCGTAAAACAGCCGTCTTCAGGGACATTTTCCGATCACCTTTATTATGTCCTTTTTGCAAACGCACACCGAGTGTTTCCCTTAAAATTCGCTTGTTCCAACATACTGTTTTTGCCATGCCATCCATTAGATAATTGAAAAGACAAAAATAGAGCAGATGGACAAATAAATCAATCAAATCGGGTGATGGAATGTTGTCTTTTCAATTATGCGACTAATCAAAGAAGTAGAAAAGTTAGAGCTAGCAAATTGGCAATCCGATATCGAGTGCAAGTTCATACATTGAGAGTACACACCATAAATAGCCCTGATTGGCTTGGATGAACGTTTGTGGGCTAAAAATGCGAAAAACCGAAACACAAACAGACTATTTATGGCAACAAATAAAGCATTTAACATTTACGTCGGACATATTTTGAAAGGAAACAACAGCTAATTCGGATATGTCCGAGATAAACTGGTCACATCACACGCTTGCGAGAAAAAATACACAGAAATACAGAGTGTTCTGTCCTTACGGGTGAGTAGGTACAAGAAGTGTGGTCGGTGTAGTTTCTGATCTGATGTGTAACGACATTTTCGGTTTTTTTCAAAGAAAAACAAGTAAGCAAGTGTGTGATGAGTCATTTAACCGAGCCATGATGTGTCGGAAGGGCTTCAGGGCCCCTTTGGGTGTTTCCCTCGATTCTAGCTGAGTTTCAGATTGAGTTATAGTCCAGCAGAAATTCAATTGAACGTACCTTTTCCTCTGGGCTGCGCCCCAGTAGTGGGGCCCCTGATTTGGGTCTCTCTCGGAGGAGGTGGGGGCCCTCGAGCCCCTGGACCTGCGCCCCTTGCCTGTCCCTGTCCACCACGCCCTGCAAAAATATGGCACTCGCTTTAATTTGGATTTGAAAAATTCGCAAAAAATCTTCGGCTTTTGCAGGTGAAATCAAAGATCACCCAATTATAAAGTGGACTTTTCCCTATGTGCTCAGCGATCACTCATAGCTCTGTCTGCTGCAGGTGTGCAGCAATTAATTTTTGAAATTTGCGCTGCTGGTTGGCGATGAAAAACACACTGATACTGAAAAATTTCTGAAAATTGATGTTGTTATGTATTTTTAAATTCCAAATCAAAATCAATT